AGGATATTAACATTTCTGCTGCCGCCAGGTTCGCTGCGTTGTTTCCCCGCTTGCCAAAGAGGGTTTGGCTGGAGAAGGCTGGAGAAGATAAACAGCCATTGTGCATTCTCTGCTTTCGCTTAGAACCGGCTGTTTCATTAAGCCAAAGCCTTCAGGACCAGAGGCTGCCAATTCCTCCGTGTTCTTGGTGTTAATGAAAAAGAGATTCCAAGAGCAGATCGTTATTCTTTGAACGGGGTGGCAGCATTTGCACTTAATTGCTTTGATGCTGTAGACTTGTAGATATTTCCTCCGCAGTGAGGCTCTGCTTCTTATCTCTTGCTTGGGAAGGCAGAACCTCTTCTGAGGATGGGAGCCTGCTCAGACAGGGCTCCTTTGAGGAGGCAGAGGCTCTGCCCCTACCCCACTCCCCATCAAAAATACTAACGCTTAACCTTGGTTCACAGAATTACTGTCTTCACTTGACCGGCTTTGCCTAAACAAACAACCATTTGTGTATCTTGGTCTATACTATATGCTACAATGAGGACTGTATTGTACAGCAAATTGCTTGGACCTGTTCTGGTTTTCTCTAGAGCAGGGCTTTTCAACCAGAGGTACGGGTACCACCTGTGGCACCTGGCAGGTGGTACGCGACCATCCTAGAATCAGCTGGAAAGCAGCACTGATCCTGACACTTCTGCTGAGCCCAGAAGAAGCGCCGATCAGCTGGAATGTTGCAGCATCTCCAGGGTCTTGTGATTTACATTCAGATGCTTGGCAACTGATTCATATTTATGACGGTCACAGTGTCCCAGGGTCATGTGAAGTGACCCAAAACTGCTGCAACCACCCAGCAGATGAGGGGAATAAAAACCAAACACCCCCCACCCCACCCCCGCTGCCAATCCTCAGCAGAAATGCTCACAACAATGAAAACCTCGGACAGGAGGAAGAGCGCAGCCGGGTGGGCAGGCAGGTGTCTTGCTTGGCTGTGGCTTGGGGGGCACTTTTTTCAGTGCCATTGTAACTTCGAACAGTCACTAAGCGAACTGTTGTAAGTCGAGGACTACCTGTACTTTATCACTTTTTTCCTTTTTGGGGGGGGGTCATCAAGTTTTTGACACCTTGCTAGGCGACTGGTGGTACTTGGATGTTGCCATATCCTAAAAGTGGTACAATGGGTGAAAAGGTTGAAAAGTCCTGCTCTAGAGCGTTGGGCAAATCCAGAATTTCTGTGTTGATCTTCTCCTTCCAGATAGTGTGATGCAACTGAAACCAACAACCCTGTACACAACTGATCTCCCAATCACTAACAAAATGGAATGAATGAATGAATGAATACTACTAATAATCAGACTAGAGTTGGAAGGGAACTTGGAGGTCTTCTAGTCTAACCCTCTGCTCAAGCAGGAGACCCTATAAAATTTCAGACAAGTGTCTTTCCAGTCTCTTCTTAAAAACCTCCAGTGTTGAAAAGTAAGGTTTTGATAAAAGTAAGGCAAGAAAAACCAACTCTATAGGTACAGACCAGGTGAAACTTGGCTTAATGCCAGTAACTGTGAGAGGGATCTTAGACTCCTAGTGGACAATCATTTAAATATGAGCCAGAAGTGTGCGGCAGCAGCCAAAAAAGGCAGTGTAATCCTAGGTTGCATAAACAGAGAGAGAGATAATCAAGATCATGTGAAGTTCTAGTACCACTTTATAAAGCCTTAGTAAGACCACACTTGGAATACTGCATCCAGTTTTGGTCAACACAATATAAAAAAGATGTCAAGATTTTGGAAAGAGTGCAAAGAAGAACAACAAGAATGATCAGGGGGACTGGAGGCTAAATCGTACAAAGAACGGTTACAAGAATTGGGTTTGTCTAGTCCAGGGGTGTCAAACTGCTGGCCTATGGGCCGGACGCGGAAGCCGCGCCCACCCCATAGCCAGCAATGGCAAAACAGTCCTGATACATTGAGTTTGACATGTCTGGTCTAGTCTAATGAAAAGAAGGACTAGGGGAGACATGATAGCAGTATTCCAATCTTTGAGGGGCCCTTACAAAAACATGGGGGGGGGATCAAACTATTCTCCAAAGCACCAAAAGGGAAGACAAGAAACGATGGAAACTAACCATGTAGAGAAGCAACCTAGCACTAAGGAGAAAATTCCTAACAGTTAGAGCAATTAACCAATGGAATAGCTTGTCTTCAGAAGTTGTGGGTGCTCCATCATGGGAGGCTTTCCGAAAAAGACTGGACAGCCATTTGTTTGAAACAGTATAGAGACTAAAAGACTTCCAAGGTCCCTTTCAACTCTATTATTCTGTGCTCTATGTTCCCTTTGAACAATCCCCCTCTTGGCATGCCACCAGGATTTGTGTAGATCTTCTGAAAATGTGTGTTTCTGTGTGTTCAAAGGATAAGTAGCCAAGGGGTAATGGGCATGGGCCAGCAGCCCTTCCAGTTCTAATCCTAACTTTTTAAATGATGGTTAACTGGCCGATTCACCAGCTGAGGATGATGTCTAAAAACAAATTTCCCCAGTGTTATAAAATAACAGTTTTGGGATTTTACAGTTAAGATTATGAGCAGTTTCCTGAAATTTCAGTCAAGGCTGTTTTCCTTGGGCATCTCATTTAACGTTGCAGCATCTGGCCTAACACTGGGGCTGTTTGCTAGATGTCTGGCAGTTCCTCCCACATGCCTGACGGAGCTCTGCAATCCCAAGATGATGAGGGCGTGGTATAAGATGGTTTTCTGGGTACCAGTCTTAGGGGTTCCCTGATTTACTGAGATGAAGCAGCTGAAGCAACACCTAGAACACCAATGGTTTCAAAATGAAGTGTGAACATGATGGAGCCCTATGACCTCATCCTCTGACTTAAATTTGGTGACAAGACCTGCAAAACACCATCACTTTCCATGTTGTATCAGCAGAATATTGTTCAGCAACCAGCTAAACCATAACCAGCAGGGCCAGAAGAGTTTTTGTCCACTTCAGAGTAGAACGTTCTAGGAGCCCCATCCATTCAAGATTGGATTGTTACAGTGGGCTTTTCTTAGTGTTGCTGTTGAAGACTACATGAAAACCCAAAGAGCCACCTTATCCAGATAACCCCAGTCTTCTGGATCTTCCATTAGTTACAGATAGTCCTCGCTTAATGACCATTCATTCAGTAAGTTGCAGCAGTGCTTGTGATGGAATAGATAATGGGATGTGTCTAAGAAGGTGAAGTGATGTGACAGTAACACAGCAGGTTCTGCAGGGAGAATGGAGCACATTCCAAAGACGGAGTGAGACAACAGGCAGCACACTCTGGAGTTGAGTTGTGGGAAGAGGAAGAGATTTAAGATAGCCACTCCCTGGAATCTACCAGGGTACATCCATTAGTTTAGAGTAGGATAGATGAGTCTGGAAAGATTCTCTCTTTATGGTTTTAGCAAGTAAACAAGTGGACTTTGGCTGGATTGTGTGATGTCGTTCTTGGGTTAGACCTGACAGAATATGAGAATGACCTTGGAAGAGGGTGGTAGAGATATTGCCCAAGGAATGAGCAGATAAAAGGAGAGGAACCTACAACTAAGTAACAGCAGAGAAAGAAACCTTAGAAAAGATCCATTCTAACTATTCAGATGGTAAAAAGTGACGGTGGAAGATTTATCCTTTCAGACTTGCAAGAATTATACATAGCCCTCAATTTAACAACCATAATGGAGCCCAAAATTTCCATCATGCATCATGACAGTCATAAGTCAAGGCACCCATCAGACTGGACCAGATTTGATAACTTTTTTAATGGCAGTCTTTAAGTGAATGGCACGGTCATTAAGCAAATGAATGTATTCCTATAGGCATTTTTTTTTTGCCAGAAACTGGCCTAAAGGATCAGAAACCCACAAAACATGTTGTAACTTGCAGTTATGTGAATGCAGAATTCTGCAAGCCAGTTGCCAAGTGCCTGAAATGTGGCCAGGTGATTGTGTATACATGGGGGGGGGGTAGCACTGGTGTCCCTGGGGCTGACATAGAGGCTCAGGGGCAGCAGCAGCCAGCTGAGACTGCTGAAGGCGCCAGGCTCCTATTTAGCTCTAGTGCCCCTGGTGCCAACATTGCCACCGATGAGTGTCACCTTGAGCCCTGCCCCACGGCCAGCTACCCTGACACCACAGCACAAAGCTGCCATCACCCCTGCGCTCCACAGATCCTGCGCCCCCAGCTGACATTCACCATCTTTTTCCTGCCCCTGCTGACCATAGGGCCTGGCCTGGCCCTGTGTGAGGTAGCTGCTGGTTGCTCCAGGCCTTCTTCCCAAGGCCGTGTGCGCATATTTCCAAACCATGTACTGCTTTCTTACAATGCTTCTGTGGCCTTCACAAAGCTTGCGAGGAGACTGACCCTGGTCCTCTCCAACGCAACACATGGCATTCCAAAGGAGACCTGCTGCTGTGGGATTCAGTTAATGACAGCAATGGGGATTATCTTGATTTCTGTTACTAAGCAATGTGGTCATGAGATGTTGTGTTTTACAGTCACATGGTTTAGTGACAGAAATTCTGATCCCAATTACTGTTGTTATCCAGGCACTGCCTGTATTAGGGGTTTTGGTGTACATTTGAAAATGCTGGTTTTGACTGATTAAACATCTCTTTTGAACTGAATTTCCACTCTTGTGCCGTCTGTCCAAGAGAAGCTGTTTGCGTTCCGTCTGAGAGATGAGAGAAAGAAAAAATGGGAAAGAGAAAGAGAAGAGCCCAGAGTTAAGTCTTCCTGGTGATTGGCCCATCTATGGAGCAGCTGTGCATTGAAGTTGAGCTGCCCACCTTGGAATGCTTTGCGGATTTAAAACACTAACATTTTGCTGGGCCTTTATTGGCTAGAAACTTTGCTCAGTTTTAAGTTATGGCCAGATAGCAGGATTACATTGTGGAAAGTAAGCGATTTAGGGGTTGAGGATGATAGTTATTAACCTGCTGCTCCTCTCATTCTGAAAGATGACAGGTGAACCATGTTCTCTTCCTTTTTTCAAGCTCATGACCAAGCATCCGGCAAAGCGGTTGGGCTGTGGCCCAGAAGGAGAACGGGATATCAGAGAGCATGCCTTTTTCCGATATATTGATTGGGACAAACTCGAGCAGAAAGAAATCCAGCCTCCTTTCAAACCCAAAGCTGTAAGTTGCTTTCTTTTCTTTCTCCGTTCTCTTTTATAGCCCCGGAGCAGTATACCTCTTCCCGGACACTCGTAATAAGATATTTTCTTTCTCAGACGAGGGATGTGTTTTTCAGAATTAAGAACGAATTTGGAGGAATGCAGGGTTTATGCATGACAATTTTATTATGCAATTCCCTTGCTTCCTTGAAAGAAGTACACAGAAGCAAGGAGAGAAGCAACCTAGAACTAAGGAGAAACTTCCTGACAGTTAGAACAATTAACCAGTGGAACAACCTGACCCCAAAAGCGGTGAATGCTCCAACACTGGAAGTTTTTAAAAAGAGACTGGACAGCCATTTGTCCGAAATGGTATAGGGTTTCCTGCCTGAACAGGGGGTTGGACTAGATGACCTCCAAGGTCCCTTCCAACTTTACTATTATTATTATTATTATTATTATTATTATTATTATTATTATTATTATTGTCTTTAGTTGTAATTTTTCTGGGTTATGTTGCTTATAATTAGTTTATGCAATCTTCTTGCACGGGCTATAATCTACTGTTTCTTCTGACTCTTTCCACAATCTGTACTTTGAATCATTCAATGATTTTTCCGTTCTGGCCTTGATTGCATTAGTTTGGATGGTTTGCTCTTGAACAAAGCCCAAAATCAAGCCTTCAGTTTCTTTTTTTAATCTTCTAATGGTAAGCCATTCCCAGGTTTTATGTTTATCTCCTTTCCCCTTAATCTTGTATAGAAATATTTAAACTTATATGCCTCCTGACTCTCAAGAACTCTGGGAGGATAATATTCACCTCACCTGCATTACTAGTTCACAGAGCAAGGAAACTGATGGGCTTTCATGCAGGTCCTTCCACATCTACCAGGAACAGTGCACTGTGGGAACCAGAGGACACAGCGAACAGATAGGTGACCTTTAGAGATTCATCCTTCCCTTTTTCTTGACATCAGGGTGAAATGCATCAGAGGGGCCAGTTATACATTCTTCCTTCCCAGGCAAGGAATTTTTATGGTTGCATCACCACAACTGCCTGGCTGGACCTTATTTAAAACTACCTAACTTCTTCTTGGCAAATCTGCTGTCATGCCAAAATTTTAACTACTAAATCAGCCATCTGATGCATCCCCTTATTGCCCTGTAGCGTCCTTGAGATCTGGTACCCTTGGATTAGATTGCCAATTTAACACATGTCAAAATCCTGAATATTCTACTAATTTTCATTGACCTTTTCATGAAGATGGGTCATCTAATTTCTTATAGGAGCCTCCCTTCCATAGCAGAGATTGCCCAGTTGTCCCACTGTTAGGTTTTCTGACCTGAAAGCATCCTAAACAACCTCATTTCCGACAGAGATTTAACTCTGATTTTGGAGAACTCTTTATCAATTTCTGAATGTTATTGCCCCTCAGCATATCAACCATAATCCAATGGTAAACTAGAGAAGACAAATGCCTTTGTGATTATATGAACTATTAAGGTTTCAGGTCACTGCTGCCTGCAGTCTCCTCCTGTTTCCCTAGGGTGGGAAGGAATTCCTTTTCCTTTAGGGTTACCAGATGGGGAGAGGGAGAAGAGGAGAATTCTGTAGATTTGAGAGAAAACTCCTGGCTAGGAGAAAGGGAATGGAAAAGCACTAGGATCTCCCAAGATGGAGGAAGTGGGGAGAGAGGGATGACTTGGTGGAAGGTGGTGGAAAAACCAGTTCTGACTAGGTCAGAATCAAACAGCCTGTAATGCATAGAAGGAAACCATCCCTCTCATTGGGAGAATGGCTTCAAACCTATCACACTATGTAGATGGGAGAAAATATGCAAAAATTAAAGTTTAAGTTCATTGTAAGTATCGCTTCCATCTTATGTACAACAGTTACTGGAATTCTTTTTTTTAAAGAGCTTTGTAAGATTTTTTTTCCCAATAAATCTACTGATTTGTGTTTGGAATTCCTACTTATGCATACTTTTAGTAGGAGTGTTATAGAGAGAAACCTGAAACCTCCTTCTTGAGCTCTGACTTTTTGAATTTGCCTCTGACATTCTGTTAGTTCTCTCCCCTTTCTTTTTCTAGAGAAATTGGAGTTTTTATATCCCTTCCACAGTCTTTGCAGCAGCCTCTGCTTGCTCAGCAGGAAGCAATAATTCAGTCAAACACAATGAGAAATCAGCCGCTATTCAGGACATTAGCTCTTTGTTGCACAGAGCTGAGCACACGGTCTCTCGGAATAGAAAGTTCTCTGGTGACTCCCTTCTGTTTCTTGTCTGTCCCTCCTAGTGAAAATTATTGGATGGATTGGGGGATGGGGGAGGCCAGAGAAGGAAAAGGTTGTGTTGTGAAGTTGCAACGCAAACTGTGTTCTTCTTGTGTCCAGTTCAGGATGCAAGTATAAATGACCAGGGTTTATATCATAATATTGCAATACAAATTTTCATTTTAATCATCAAACGTATGATGATAAATAGAGCTAGTTAAGATATGTTTCTGATATGTACCCTGGCTTTGCCTCATTGTGGTGTTAGAAATAGCTGTGTCCTCTGCCAATTGACACACTCCAAGCTTCTCCATTTAAGATTAACTTAAAGAGAAGTCCCAAATAGTATCATCTGTCCAAGGAAAGCAACCTTGTATAAATCCAACTGTGAACTTTACCCTATTGAAGCATGTCCATATTACCTTCATTTTGGATTTAAGTTTTAGTTTGTTCAGTCCAAACAATCTTCATATATCAACCTACAAATCTTTCAGCTTCTCTGGAAACTGTAGATAGAAATTAAGAGTTGAGCAGAGTATTGTCCATGCACTGATGAAATGTCCACCTAAGCTACACAGTGAGTAGCCCAGTAGTTCACATAAAGTGTACAGAGAGCAAGAGAGAACTCTGTAGCATCCCATAAATCAGTGACCATGAGAAGTAAGAGGACTATCCCTTCAGTACTTTCTAAGATGGATCTTCCAGGTAGGTGAGACTACATCAGGTCTCCAGAAAGATGGTCTAGACTCTAGAAGGATACTCTGATTGGTAGAATTAAAGATTCTTTCAAGCAAAACATAAACCCCCAAGAAGCTTTTCTGAATTCTAGCCAGATCCGTTCTTTATGGTCTTTATGGTTTGATATGTTCTACCAAAGGGAAGTTGCAAGACCACGATCTTCTTCCAAAGTTCTCACGTCCTGTTGCTCTGCAACCTTCCCCATTCTTTACTCCCCCCTTTGACTTTTCCACATCTGTCTGCTGTGTCTATTTCTACTTTGGATTCCCTTACTCTTTTGCTTCCTTAACCGTCTCAATATGCTTAACTACCAACAGTTTACGCCAACCAGACTAGGTTAGTTTGCAGTTTGGGTGTTAAGGAGAAAAGGATGAAAAGAAGGGGTTTGCTCTACTGGTGAGTCACAGTTCTGTAGAGGCAAGGACTGCCAGCTGTTGGGGAGGACAGCTGGGATATGCTCCAGACAGGTTGCTCTTGGCCTGGTGGTGTTTTTCAACCCCTGGTGAAAATAAATAGTGGGAGTATGTGACTTTTTGGTTTTTTCAGGCTTTTAAGCACAACTTTGGCATTGAAAACAAATTCTGACCTGGGGAAATAAAAAAGACGATTTTCTGAGCTCTATATCAACAGCTGTAAATAAATGCAAGTCAATTTCCCCCTAGCTATAAATACTGGAGGTGATTCTTTAGTGAGCTGTATAAAATAAATCTCCTCCTTCTAGGGGACTATTCTGGAGCTTGGCGTGGACATTAACGTGGCACTGAGAGTGGCAGTTTTATTTCCAGGCCTTTCTGCTAATTGTGATGTTTATAGGGGACAGAAATCTTTGCTTCTGCTTGAAAAGGTGGCAATTTTGCACCCTAAAGAGAGGTCAGTTTGGAAAAGAAGCAGCCTAGAGTCATTTTGCACCTTCCCTAAATATCACCCTGCTTTTTCTGATTAAAAAAACAACATTGTTTTGCCTCTTCCGTTTATATGCTGAGGCTGAGTTTTGCTGATAGGAACTTTCTAACCTTTCATTGAAGAAAGCACAATTGTCACTCCTCATTCACACACGAGACAAGCTCTGAGTTGCCTTCTGCAGAGATCCAGAAGTACCATCTTGTTAACCAAGTGTGCGTTATGGCCTTCGTGGAGGTCATTTGGGAAATGGTGCAAAGGGAAAGCTGACAGTCCTCTCAACTGCGCACATTAAGGACTCCTTGTCAGACCCGCCCCAGCCGGGTCAGTAGGAAACAAAAGGCCCTCGAGTGATAGCTTCTTTTACTAAGGATTACTGGTTGCAATGAAAGCAGGCTAGAACTAAGAGTTCCCGTGCAAAGTTACAAAGTTATTCCCTTTTGTGATTCCCCCTCCCTTTGATCAGTCCATCAGTGTCCAATAGCATCCCAGTGCGATGTTTTGGGAACCGCTTTGATGTCAGGCACGTCTTGAAATGGCTTCCCATTCTTTACCAAGCCAGGCATCTTTGGGCTTCGGGGTTAGTCCAGTTTTCACATGTCTGGTTCCTGTCAGTGCTAACCCCTCCCCCCATTTGTCTACTTCTCCTTCCTCCTGCACTATTTATTTATTTCAATTTAAATGGCTGCCCATCTCCTGCAAAGTGATTCTGAGCAGTGAACAATGAAACCAGGGATTAAAACATTCAACAAGACTAGTGAAAACAAACTGGATGGAGCAAAGTAAAGAAAGCAAGATCATAAGAGGGAAGATATGATGTAAAATAGCCAGTGTGCAGGCTCCCTCTCGGATCCTCAGGTTTTAAGAGCTGTCCGGAAGGTAACAACCTCCCCTTCGGAGGGAGGATGTTCCAAGAGGAGAAAAGGCCTGTCCCATAAATCCCATCAGATGGAGCTCCCTCACAGACGGGACCCACCCCAGGCCCTTCCTGCCAGACCTGATGGGATGGGTAGACTTGGCCAGGAAGAGGCAGTTCCTCAGGGAACTGCTCCCGTGCCATGTCGGGCTTTAAAGATCAAGGGCAGCACCCCCTTGAATTGGACTTGGAACTA